AGAGGGGGAGGAGAGGGGGGAAGAGGGGGGGAGAGAGAGAGAGAAAATAAATTAAAATACTTACTTTTTATTTGCAATGACATATATGCATGGGTTGTAGAAAGTGGAGGATTTAGCAAACAGAGGAGCTATGATAGCCATTGCTGGTGAGATTTGTTTAGGATCCCCAAAAGATGACCATAAGCACACAATGGAATAGGGAGACCAGGCCACCAGAAACATGACAATCATCACTACTGACATCTGTGAGACAGACAAATGTGAAAACGTTTTTAAAGACCTATTGGGATAAAAATGGGAGTTGCAGTTTTTAAGTTGATACATAAAATCGCATGCTGCTTTTTTATATCTCTCATGAGCATTAATTCACAAAACCGTGTTAGTCCTTTTACATGAGTTTGTTGTCATCCCATGATCGTTTTCACATCAAAATGTTCAATTCACAAAAATCACTTTGGTGTGAAATTGCTATTTTGCAAAATAAAATTATAGTCATTGAGAGACTCTGTTTCTCATAAACCAGTATTTTGTTTTTATTGCAATTTTTTGTGGTAGGCATAAATAAAAAATATTGCATATGAATATAATACTGTATGTAATTGAAAGTCCAGCTTCAGCCCTTCACCCCCTTTTAAAAACAATCTGTATATATACTTTTTTCCAGATCTCTTTAGTCTTGTTGTGTGGCGTCATTGGTCCTCTTCCTCTTTTTCCTTCCCCGATGGGAGCTGGGTCCTGAATACTACAAAGAATGAAGACCGCTAATGATATAGCGCCACTCTCTGCAGACTTCTGCTGTAAGCCCAGGTTGGCTTGATGACGTACCCCCAGGGGGCAGGTCCTTGAAGCACTGGGTTTACAACAAATGGGTTGAATGACACAGGGGAATCATTCTATCTAGAAAAAAACTCGGGCTGGATCGCAGAGAGGTGAGTCTTTGGGGGACAGTGCCAAAAGGAAGGTGAATTATCTTATTTTAAAAAAATCATGGGGAATTTTTTTAACTACATTTTTAAAAGTCTAGAGTTGCAATTTTAAACCAGCTGGCCTTTTACAAGTTTTCCACTTTTCCTGTTGTAAAATACCTGTTCTTACAACAGCTATAATTGACAGACAAAAGTGAATGTGTTAGTGCAGAGTGTCTTCCCCCTCACTCCCCATGGCTCTATGTAGCTCCATCAGAATTTCAATTAGAGACAACAAGTCTGAAAGGCGATAACTAAAGCTGGTCTCTCACTAGTGCTCTGGGAATCCTTTTTCATGTATTAAATGCTTATTTGTGAGAGATTGTAGATAAAAAACAGATTTAAAACGTGATTTTTTTATACAAAATACTGCACCCCACTGCACATTTACCACGCATTAGAGAGTCACTGGGACCTTGCCCATGTTGGTTAAGATCACAGTGTCTCTGGAAAAGGCATCCCTGGCCCTTTATACTCGCCTTACCTGTACTCTTCCACAGCCACTTATTTCTCCTCAGCCAGCAAGAATACCTGGCACTTCCAGGTATGGCGAACCATGTGATCCACTGCCCTGTGAGTGTACCCTGGCCTAGCAGCCAATTGCTAAGCCCGAACACTGTCACATGACCAAGGGGGTGCATCAGCACTGCACAATGTCACCAACACAGCCAAATTCAGTTTGGGCTGCAGAGGAGAAAGAAACTGCGATTGAGTGCAGGTAAGATAATTATAAAGGGGTAAAAGAAGCTGTTTTCAGAGAGTTTCACATTCCTCTGCATAGGCAAGGTAAAGTTGTCTCTTCGCACTGAAAATCAAAAGCATGTCAGGGGATAGATACAATAACATATTCAAGCCGCTATAACGAGTGGAAATATAGTCAAATCACTTTTTTTTCACACCCTAAAAAAAAACCCCACCCTCTACCAAAAAATAAATAAATGAATTACTATATTCAAGAAGCTACAGTATATTCAGTGAAGCACAGCTAAATCAGTCATTAGAAAATGAAGCATGGTGGCACAAATGTGGGTGGATATCTGCCCACTAGAGCCCACAGAGTCAACCCTCAAAAGCCTAATGTGCTGTAGCTCTAGTTTTTTATTGCTTTTATTCCTCTTTCTATTTGATTTGTGTACAATACTTTGTATTGATATATACAGATTTGGTGGTACTTTTTCCATACTTGTCCCCACTGATGTGGGAGATACTTTTTGGGCATTAGTTTCTAATTAATATATATTTTTTTTAATTCATATTTATTCGCCTTTTTTATATCATTTTTTGGAGTGAACTTTTGGCTTATGGTACCATGCTGACTGACGTTGGACCTTCCAGAAACACATGTATTTATACTACAATCACTTGGAAGTCCTTGACTGCATACAGGTAATCTGCCATTTGATTTATCATGTGACTTTAAGAATAAGCTGCACCAGTGATGATTTAGGTGTGTTATATTAAAGGGTTGTATACTGTATCAGTTGTATCAGTGTAATCAGTTGTTTTGTGATTGTTATTAATTTCAATCACATTGCAGAGCTTTTCATTTTGACATGGAAACCTATATTGTTATTCGTTGTGTATTAAGTGTATTAAAAAAACGTAGATAAATAGATTGTGACACAATGCTCTTTAACCAAAAAAAAAAAGCACAAAAACTTCCAAGGGGTTGAATACTTTTTCTTGCAACTTTATACTGTAATGCTTGGAGCTGAGGCCATACCTTTGTGACATCCGCCTGATCAGACCAGTCTACATTGCCGCCCCCTAGACTGTTGCTGCTGCCGTATCCTTTCATGGTGGTAGACACATTGTAATAGCAGTAAAACATTACAATCAGAGGCACAACAAAGTTTACTGCGACCACCGTCATTGTGTATGAAACAAAGGCCCTGCGAGAGAAGTGTCCGCAAATTAGAGGAAACATTAATTGTGCACAAATCTTATGACACATGTTAAACAATGGTTTACAGTAAATGATCTCTGTTATACCGTGATTATTACAGGCATTTATTATACACATTAGTCTCTACCCTCAAGGAGCTTTAAATCTAATCTAAGGTCCCCATCTCACATGCAATGGCCAAATGTAGACAGGTGCCAATGAACCTACCAGCATGTCTTTGGGGTGTGGGAGAAAGCCCACACAGGCACAGGGAGAACATGCAGATAGTGGCCTGGACAGGATTTAAACCAAGAACCACAAAGCTGCAAGGCAGAGTGCTAACCACTAAGCCACTGTGCTGCCCAGAAAAAGACAGAGTAGAGACAAATGCAGAGCACATTAACATTTGAAAACCTTCATAATGGCAAAAGCAGACAATTACATACAGCATTAGGTTGCTGTTTAAAAGCAGCCCATGAACAAATGATAGCTGGAATGAATTGGGTGATTATTCCACTCCATTCATTTTTGGTGGATGCTAGAGAGATAATCCAGCTGACAGATTTAAATTTCTGTGTTTGAGTTCCTGGATCTGCACCCATGCTCACGCCATCATGAGGATCCCCACTTTAACTGTTATTTTATTTTATAAAGAATGCAACAGGGTTCACTTGAACATGTGGGCCTGGAACACCCCAACACTACCGTATTTGTCGGAGTATAAGACGAGTTTTTGGACTTAAAAACATCCCCCAAAAAATCGAGGGTCGTCTTATACGCCGGGTATACGCTGGATGTGCGGTAATACTGTATGTACGGTAGCTTCAGCTACATAGAGTATACCGCGCTGAGCCAATCACGGCGAGCGATGTATTCTATTAATGAATACAAAGCCTGCCGTGATTGGCTCAGCGCGGTATACTGTATGTAGCTGAAGCTACCGTACATACAGTATTACCGCACATCCAGCGGGCTGACAGATTTGCCTCCCTGGCGGTCTGATTTTTTAACTTTTAACATTTCCGCAGGTTCCGCCCCCTGCGACGCGGATGCTCGCAAACGATGGAACACGGAAGGCAGAGGAGATCGTGGACAAGGTAAGAGACTGTAATCCCGAGTGTGGCTCGGGGTTACCGCCTATGGTACTGAAAATTAACCCCGAGCCATATTCGGGAATACCGCCATGGATGTTAGTGGGTGTATTTAAACATTATTTTGGGCTATACTCGTCTTATACGACGAGTATAGCCCAAAACCTATGTTTTACCAGAAAAATTAGGGGGTTGTCTTATAGGCCCAGTTACCTAATACGGTGGCAAATACGGTAATCATAACAGAGAGGTCTCACTGTTTGAGTTCAAGATATATAAGAAACCAAAGGCTGATACAGCCAATTAGTTCTAAAAATTATTGAACAATAAGAAAAATTCTGAACAATTACAATAGATGTCTATTTGTTACCACAACTGTGGAAAAAGTCATTTGATAATTCTTACACATCATTTTTCCTCCAGTTAATTGTACACGTGGCTCCAGTAGGGTCTGGAGCATAACTTGCCCATCCCACAATAGGCATGACAGACCAGAAAACTGCATTTATCCATGCAGCGATAATCATGGCTGCATAATTATAGCTTGTTATTCTTCTTCCTGCAGAGAAAATATATTTACATATTGTACTTGATAGCCTGGTGAGGTATAATATAGCATAGACATTTTTAGGATTAACAATTGCCCTCCTTACCATCTTGTCTTGTGATTGTAATGTCTTCCTTATATTGTAAACCGCTGCGCAAACTGTTGACGCTATATAAATCTTGTATAATAATAATAACAATTTTCTCGGGACCAGGTGTCTGCTTAGAGACAGTCCTCCTCCTCCTCCCTCTGTCTTAGTCTGTAGTAAAAGACTGCAAACAAGCAAGAAGTGCTAGGTTTTTTAAGTATGTAGGCAGTACTGGGTTTTCTTAGTATGAAGCCAAATGTTCTGTGTAAATTTAGTGCCATGGGTATTTGCAGAATTAAGTATATGTAAACTCGAAATCCATTTTTTCCAGTATATTAGGCACCTTGCCTCACCATACCGTGTTTTTAAAGCAAATCATTTTTGGTGAATCTGTTGCATGGTTTCATGTTTGGAGATCATGCCAGTAACAGCCCTTCCTGAGGCTGTCAGCCTGCCGTGTGCACTCATTCACTTGGCTGTTGGTCTGCCTGTCAGGTCTGTGCAAGCCTTCTGAAGATCCGATAGACAGACCAACAGCCAGTGGAATGAATATGCATAACAGGCTGATAACACCTGAAACAGGAAGCCCTGTTACTGGCAGCATCTCTGGAATCTGAAAACTGAATACTATGAGGCATGATTCCAAAAATAGATATGGATTTGAAGTTCCTGGTTTAAAGTAGATCTATAATTGAAGAAAAAAATAAAAATCCAGTTTTGCGTCTCTTACCAAAAAAAACACAACAGTTTTTGCATCTTTATTGCAACTTCCAGTTTACATTAATGTGCTCCAGGGCAGCTGTATGTCATTGCTCAGGACAGGCTTCATATTGAGGACATGGATGGAAAAAGGCAGAATGCCATGGTATAGCTGCTTGTAGTCTCCATTGATGACAACACAAGAGCACTATTTGGGAGACACCTATAACAGGTGTCGTCTGAACATGAACGTTTGTGGCAAGATCACCAGGTATTTTTTTAATAGAAGCTGCAGATTTAAATAATCTTAACATTACTTATGAAATTATTTTGAATTGTAAAAATGTACATGATTGTAATGTGTCCTTAGTTACATTTAGTGTGCAGCTAGGATGTAACCAGCCTGAGCTCTGTTTACATATTTTTTCTAGGCTCTGTGGATCTCCCAATCTCAGTGTGTTAATTGCTTCTGCTAGTTGCTGTGAAGGAGGTCCCAGTAATCGGTGTGGGAAGGGCTATCACTGAGTTATGAATATTTATCTGACCCAACCAATCCCTGAGGTTCTTGTTCAGAGGTACGATTTGGGAAGATGATTAATATTCATGACACTATTGCAGAGTGTTCTCTACCTCCTGGGCTTTTGCCTGGAAAGGATATGTCTAAAAGGATCTCCACGTCGGCTTTGCCTCAGCCTGGGGCATGTGCTAGAAGCTCAATGACTTAACCTGCTTGATGAAGTGGATATCTGGAGGGACCTGGGCTTATAAAGAATCTTTATGCCGAAGAGTTTTACAGAGGAGCTGGGTAGAAGTTACTGCTGGACATTGAAAGATGGATTCATTGTCCACAGGTCAAGGTATCTTTGACTGCTCTGAAAGGGTCAAGAGCCAGATTTTTGGAGAGAGCCACTCCGGTTTAAGGAAGACTGTACTGACCTTACCTGTCACACTACTTAGGGGGTCATTCTGCATCACCTTGAGAGAAAGAGTGCTACATTATATTTTAGTGATTGGGTTTAGATCACCTTTAAATACTGCTTTTGCTGCAGTAGGTAACAGTTTGTTTAGAAGCTCTCATACACCAAGCTCATCGTGTTTGCATGTACTACAAATCTGAGATTAAACTGAGAAGGAAAATCGCCCCCCTCATAATTAGAATTTGATCTTAATTAGTACCTATGTCAGGTCTACAGATAGTCAGGTATCGATCAATAGCAACCACAGTCAGCAGTCCAATGCTTGCCATGCCAAAAAAAATATTCAAGCCAGCATAGATCTGTAAATAAACAGAAAGCAAAAAAATCCACCATAACTTATGAATGCCATACAGGTCTAGCAAATCAGGCAAAAAACATGAGTTCCCCTTGGTTTTCATAAATTAGCAAACCTAGACAGCATCATTATAGACTTGCAAGTATTCGTACATTATAATCCCTAGAAACAATGAATGTGTCTAGCCAGTCGTTATGGTGAAGATACTTACAAACCTGCATCTTTGCTTTAATGCCATCTAGTGACAAAGGCCCACAAACAAAAGATAGTTTTGAAAGATCATCCTAAATTTAGATCTTTCCATACACAAATGCTGCCAAAAATGAAATTAGTGCACCTAGAATTTTGTCAATCTTTTCGCACGGCTATGTGTTCTATCAGGGATGTAGGGTGTTTTTGTATAAATTATAATTTAATGATTTATGTTCAGGACTAAAAAATATTGCTTGAAAAAAAACATAATTTTGCTTGCCAGGTAAATTACACATGAATATTTCACATGAACCAATCTGAGCCACATAATCATAAGACTGATTTTCTACTTTGTGTAGCTCTTGTTGTAAAAAGACCTGAATAAAGGCTATGAGGTTAGACACACACATACAACTAAATGAGTCAGAGGAGAAACAACCCCTCCCTTTCTTCTAGCACACATGGGATTTTTATTCTGCAGAATTTGTGCTGGATTATTTTACTAGAGTACACGGAAGCACCTGGCTTTAAATTATTTTTAAAATAAAGCCATAAAATAAATATTGGAAACATTATACAACATATCAAATAAAGTTATTAAACTGACCAAAACAATTAAAGTTTCCCTTTAGCAAAATATAATGATCATATACTGTATGCTTATACATATCTTATACCTGCTGACATCAGAACAGTACTCTCTGGCACCCTATTAAATGCAGTTTTTAAAGATATATTTATCAAAACATTTCACCCAGTGAAAATTTGACCTAAAGATTCATTTGAAGGTACAAAAGGATTTGCCTGTTCATTTCTGCGGACATTCACTCTATTTATTATGCAGGCAACTGACATGTAAATCTTTTATAACTGAATGTTGCCAAGTTAAATGTCATTTGAATGTTTCATGTTCAGTATTGCTAATTTTCTTATTTCTTGGAGTCAAAGTTTGCGTGAATCTGATTTTAAATTGAGCGAAACCCACTGGGAGACGTGAATATGAAAAACTTGGTCACAAAAAAATGTTTTTGATGGAAACAATTGTAATTGCATATGGAAAGCACTTCCTTTAGTCTATGGGTAGCATTAGTTTGCCTTATTATATTCATAAAGAGTCTAGCATCTGCTTGGACAAACTGGCAGTCTATTTGATCCTGAGCTGGACCAATCCAGATAGCTATAGCAGTGTCTAGTGCAAGGAGACAAATCTAGTAAAGTATGTCTATGAAGATACACCAGACAAAATGTGATCGTGTTCTATACCTGGCATCCTACATATCCAAATTTCCAACTTCCATGAAGGTCAGAAGCAGCAGACATAGGATAACCAATCCCACTGACTCCAATATCAGTAAATGCCAGGTTGATGATGATGGCATTGGTTGCTGTGCGTAGCTCCTTGTATTTTACAAAAATTCCCAGAACCACAATGTTGCTTAAAATGCTTATTACCCCTGTGTAAAAAAAAAAGTGACTAGCTCAGAGGAAAAATACTTGACATCACAAATAATGGTAAAATACAGAACGTGAACAGGCTTTCCATTCATTAGCACATCTATCCATTTAAAAACAACAATTTTTATGAAAATTTGTGTTCTGTGTATAATTAAGATGTCAGTGCCAAGAAAAAAAAAATGTAGCAGCTTGGCCTAGTCACCAATCTTCAAATAAAATATGTGTAATGTTAATTTATGCGGTTTACTGACCTGCACATAGCAAACTACAGCTTGGAATTGCAATTTCATGTTATAAATAACATTACTTTGAAGCACCTTATAAAGTAAGCCTATGACAACAAAAATCTCCTGAAAATGCTATTTGTCCGGCTCTTATACTGACCCTGTGGCTACAATACATTGAGTCTGACCTCAAACAAGTATGCAGATAAGTAAGACTGGGAAAAGTTTGAGGTCCTTATTTACACGTTCTAAGTCTGTGACTTAAAGTGACAGTAAACTTAGGAATGAAATCTCAAAAATGTATTCAAGTCCCTTAACTATTAACAAACATTTACCTTATTGGTGCATCACTCAGCTGTAGATCCTGAAATCATCTCTGAATTGGTGCGGACACTGTCCTTCCTTCTGGAGGGTGGCTACTTTTGTTCCCCATGGTTCCTGTGTGTGTTGTAAAGTAGCCACTGTTCCAATCTCAATCCAAATTAGTAAACTAAACACGAGATTATAGTCTATCACGGGAGCAAGCTTGGAGTGATGGCTACTTTACAACACACATAGGAACCACGGGGCACAAAAGTAGCCTCCAGAAGGAAGGACAGTATCAGCACCAATTGAGAGTTCTACAGCCGAGTGATACACAAATAAGTTACATTTTTGTTATTAGCTAAGATACTTGAATGTATTTGTAAGATTTAGTGCTGGAGTTTAGTTTCACTTTAAGTTATTGGAGAAAGAGGGAAGCAAACGAAAACCAGTTAACGTCAGAAGGAGGTGTCAATAATAGCTTTCCTTTAAAGGAGAACTATGGGGTTAAGGCTTTTCCCCATAGTTCTCCTTAGGGTAACGGGAGGACACAAACTAGCGCCCTCCCATCACCCTAAGCTCAGTATACCGTTAGCTACAGCTCGCGGTATACTGAGACGCCGCAGCTGAAGCGGATCCCGACAATTATGTCTGGATCCGCCCAGCTGCATGAGTGACAGCTGGCTCTGCCTATCTAGAGGCAGAGGCAGCTGTACCCGCCCCCTCCCCCGTCCATTCCGCCAGTCAGCGCTGAAGGAGTGGAGTGGGGAATCCAGCCCCTCCCCTGTCACGGCAAAGAGCCGTGACAGGATCGAGAAGTGAACGAACGCCGCTATGTGTTCTCTCACTTCCCGATCTACTGAGCCGACCTGTGACAGTCTCATTGTCACAGGTCGGCTAGAACTATGAGGGGAGTGAAAAGCACTCACCTCATAGTTCTCCTTTAATAAAATATTAAATAGTTCGGAGTTTCATACCATACAGACAAATAGGAAAAATACACAAGTCTACAAAGTCTGAAAGGACAAGATCATACCTGCTGTTATTAGATAGGCTGCAACAATATTATGTTCATGCTGGGAGAACACAGATAGAACCTCAGTTGGAACAGTAGAACCATTCACAGACTCTGCCCAGGTGGAGGTCGATGTTTTGTCGTCCGGTGTTTTGTCCATCGCAAGCCTTTTGTTCTCATGGATGTGTCTCACAGTACTGACTGTCCACCGATATTCCAGGTCATTATTTCATGGGCTGCTTGGGCATTAAACTGCTTGAAAAAATGGCAGGATTTGTGCCACGTTTGTGTTGCGCAAAGCTTGTTAACTAAAACAAAGACCAACACAGAACTTGGAACATTCACAATGAATTGCTTAGTTTTAATTCAGAGCCTCTTTTACCGAGTCTTTAATCCCATCACATGCCCCTATTATCAAACCGTTTGGAATGTGACACACTAAATACTCCTTCATAAACACAGAAAGCTATTCCTGTGATCATCTTCTAGGGACACCTAAACATAAATCTGGGCTGCAATTTTTCTTTAAAAAAAAAAAAAATCACCATTGAAAACGGGAACTTCTGTATAGCGTAGCTGCTGGCAAGCAGCATAGAAGCCTGGCTCCTTTTATCCCTTGGGTTTTCTGGAGAAAAATGTCACCCATTAGAATTTGCAGTTCTGCCCTGACAGCCTTTATCAATGCACATGGTGATGGCACATGCCTTAGATTCGCTATAAAACATTCGTTGGGTATGTAACTGGCTTTGTAGAAGTGAGCAGAAATTTACTCAAAATGTCCACTTTAGGAGGTGCTAATCTACAAATACTGGCTGATCCAGTAGAAAAAGGAGTTTGTAAAACAAATACATGGAATGTGTGTGGAAAAAAAAAAAAACAGGAGCAAGCCTGAGCCATTTAGTGTTCGAGTAAATTTTGGTTCCACGAGATTGACTGTCCTTCCAAAAAGTTTAGTATAAACTAGGGTTGCACAGATACCAAGTACAGTACTCGGTACAAGTACATGTACCGATACTTTTGAGCTCCAAGACTAGACTAGAGAAAGATGTAAAAGTTAGGAGGCAGCTGTCATTTGTAAGGAGCACACGGAGCTCCTGGGATTTGTACATCTGTTTTAATGTATGATTTTGTTTTTATAAATAAAGGGATGCACAGATACCAGTTTTGCGAGTACGAGTACTTACAAGTACTGGTACATTTTTGTTTATTGTCATGTGACAGTTTTTCTAAAACAATACAGACTATTGATTTCAGGACAGTGGTGGAGTGCCAGAGCCAGGTCCCAGCTGCAACCCTGGTAGTTCTCATGAAAATGCCAAGTATCTGCACTGGTACTCGAAAAGTATCTGTGCATCCCTAGTATAAACCTGTTATCGCAAAACAAAAATCCCATCGCTAAACCAATTTTAAAAGTACTAGTTGTCTGGCTGTTGGTAACTAGGTTTTGTAAGCCATTACTGAAAGGAACAGCCATTGGAGACCAACTAAACATGATAGTTGTCTGAAAGCTCTGCTGACCTAATCCCAAGACTTACCTCGAAGAACTACGCAGTCAGAAAAGTCAAAGTCCTTATTTGCATTTCTTATTCTGGGTTAAGGACTCAAAATATTAAAGAAAGATAGCCAGGCCACTAGTATTTGCAAGGTGCTGCATCAGCAATGGCAGGGTAGTGTCATATTTCTCTCAGGAAGTTTTCTTTAATACCAATTAGAACTCCCTATACAAATCCTTGTTCCATTGACTCAAAGTGTTACATAGTTACATAGTATTTGAGGTTGAAGACACAGGTCCATCAAGTTCAACCTTTGTGTGTCTGTGTTGAAGCAAGACATTCAGGTAAACAATATTATTATAAAGGAAAACTCATGAATGGCAGCCTCTATGCTTCTTTTTGGGGTTGAGCTTAAATAAAGTTCCTTCAAAACTAAACCTTGTTCTCTCCTTTACTAGACCGTTAATACAAGGCACAAAAGCAACCTAGAAGGTCTCAAGTCAAACTTGGGAACATATCAAAATAAAACAGGATATTAACAGTGTATAAGAATGAGGTAAGGTTAGATTATTGCCTCTCCTGATGTTCTTCTAGAGAACGCTCTTTGCTGGTCTCATGACCCATTGCTTCTGGCTGCTACTGGTCCTAAGGAAATAGTGCAGCTAAGCAGATCCTGGATCCTTGGACTGGTAGCCCAATTACATCAGTTTGCAGCAAAGACAGACATGCTGTGTGGAAGCAGCAGTCTCTCTACAGAGGTCTGACAAACCTCATGCTGAGTCAGAGCTACATGACTGCAATCTGCAGGGAAACCGAGCATAGGACTCTTCTGCTGGGACTGGGGAAGCTTTACAAACAAACTGTAAAATCACTTACTATCCTGAGGTAGCCCGATTTGATTTGTATAATTGTAGCCGATAAGCTACAATTGAGTAATAAAAAACCCCCCACAAAACATGCCATAGGAGAATAGGAAAAGCATGGAGATGGCCACCTCTCTTTCTGAAAATGTTAAGTAGGTGCATGTCTAATGCTAACTCTCTTACTTTAGTTGAATTACAGACCCAGATGCATCTATGCAGGGATAGACAAACTCTGGCCCTCCAGCTGCTGTGGAACTACAAATCCCATTAGGCATTGCAAAACTGACAGCCACGACTCCGAGGCAGATGCCTGATGGGATTTGTAGTTTCACCACAGTTAGAGAGCCTGAGTTTTCCTACCCCTAGTCTAGTGGATGCCCACATTAGATTTACTCAGTCACTGCATTAAAAACTTTTCTTTTTTTTAAAAGGTGTACCGGTCATGAACATGTACTGCACAGTCAAACTGGTGCACTGTTGTAACCATTCATTCTGAATGACCACCAAGACCCCTACACAAAGAATGGAAATGACACTGCATGTGGGGGGGGGGGAAATAACGATGATCCCCTAACTTCACTTCTGTATTTGAAATCAGCTAAAAACATACCAATTAACCTCTATAATAAATATAAAAACAAGTGCAAAGAGGGGTAGAAACATTTTATTGGCTCAGCACCTTTTAGCAATACAATGTTCCCATATTTACATAAATTGTTTAGCATTAAAAAAAATGAACATTGATAAAATCAGTCCTATAAAACAAGAAAATGTTTATTTCTTCAGGTAACATCTTCATCTATTCCATGAAAAATACCTCAACATGACTGGTTTAGGTCCACAATGTCCCTGTATGTACACACAATGAGATGTCATCTTTATGATGTGTGGTTAGGATTTTACACATTGTGAAAATACCAGGCTACATTTCCACAAAAAAGGATGTCTCCGAAAGCCACCAACCACCTCTGGATGTCAAAGCTTCTACTACCGGCCTCCTGTATGGGGGGAAAAAAAAAGATTCACTGTGTGAGCAACTATACATCTAAAATGACATCATAGTGGTATAGACCCCATTTAGAAACACATGCACCGAGCCATTTCATGAGCAATAAAAGCTCCGTATTGCTGGTTAATCTAGGAAGAGGAATCACCAGCACTCAGTAGAATAATCCAACATGTCCATTTATTTGACATAGACGTCACACAATCACAAGAGCCAACGTTTCGAGACTCTTTAAAGAGTGACTCTTTATGCCCTGATGGGGTCTCGAAACGTTGGCTCTTGTGATGTCTATGTCCAATAAATGGACATGTTGGATTATTCTACTAAGTGCTGGTGATTCCTCTTCCTACATTGTGTCTGCACAGTGCCATCCGTGTTCATCACTACAAGCACCATTGTCTACATAGGCCTGGATTGCTGCAAGGTGTGCAGAGGATTTCCCCTTCTATCCAATTGCTGGGTAATCTGACACAACGTTGGTCTTTAAAACCCTAAGCGCAAAGTACTGGATATTTCTAGTGAGCAAAACATTGTGAACACTACAGTGTTCGTTAAGAAATACAGTCATGGCCAAAAATATTGGCACCCTTGCATTTGTCAGATAATGCACCACCTCGCACACAAAATTGTCGAGATTACAAATGTTTAGGCATTCTCATGTTTACTTCTGTTTGTATTGGTACGACACAAAATTAACAGCTTTTTGGCAAAACAAAATTACAGCTTGTAAAGCCCATCATTCTACTGTTTTCAGAAAAAAAAGTGAGGCCTTTAAACAAAAAAATACAGTCCCTACAGTCAAACATGGTGGAGGTTCACTGATGTTTTGGGGTTGCTTTGCGGGCCTCAGGCACTGGATGTCTTGACTGTGTGCATGGCATTATGAAATCTGAAGACTACCAAAGAATTCTGGGGTGCAATGTAGGGCCCAGTGTCAGAAAGTTGGGTCTCGTCAGAGGTCATGGGTCTTGCAGCAGGACAATGACCCAAAGCACATGTCAAAAAGCACCCAGAAATGGTTTCAGACAAAGCGCTGGAGAGTACTGGACTGGCCAGCAATGAGTCCAGATCTGAATCCCATAGAGCACCTGTGGAAAGATCTCAAAACAGCAGTTGGGAAAAGGAACCCTTCCAATCTGAGAGACCTGGAGCAGTTGGCGAAAAAAAGAGTGCTCCAAAATTCCTGTAGAGAGGTGCAAGAAACTCATTGATGGTTACAGGAAGCCATTGATTTGTTATGTTTTCCAAGTGCTGGGCTACCAAATATTAATTGAGGGTGCCAATAATTTTGTCCAGTCCATTTTTGGAGTTTTGCTTGGAATGTGTCAGGATTGGCTTTTTTTTCCTCCACTTTTTTTTGTCATAGCAATACAAAACAAAAAAAATAAACATGAGAATGCTTAAACATTTGTAATTGCAACAACTTTCTGCGCAAAGTGGTGTCAATATTTTTGGCCATGACTGTACATGTTTGATCACACCAACTTTTCAACAAAGTGCTATTCCATATTTCTGTTAGTCTATTAAACAGCAATTTGTAGATTGGCCACTAGATGGCAAGCACTCAGTGGATTTAAAGGCAAAGCTTTTTGTTTTGAATAGTGTGAAATAGTTAGGCCCAATGTCAAATTTTTATTGCCGTTTGTGTCCCTGCTGGGATTCACCCATTTGTGTCCTGCTGACCACTGTCGCCAAGAGGGCCAAATATAACATAGAATAGTCAGCAAAATAACAGGTGCGGTGAAATCATCCAATGTTGAGGGGGGAATGTTTAAATGACAACTGCACAAGATGGCAATTCCCACACTTCCATGAGATTTTACTAATTTCCTGTTACATCTCTAAGAAAGGAAGTGAAGGGAAATGGGACACAACCTGATAGGGGTGTTAACCCTTCCATGCTTTACTAAAAAAAAAAAAAAAGATTTGGCTATACATTTTTAGATTGTAAGCCCTGGGGGTGCAGAGCCCTCCTTACCATCTTGTCTTATAAAAAAGAAAATAACTGAATAGACTCGAAATTCCCTATAATCCTGCATCTCACAGAAAAGATCAAATATACTCTAAAACAGCTGAAAAGTCTGGGACTTTCAACCACTGATGGCGTATCAAATCTTTAAAGTTGAACTGCAAGCTAAGAAAAAAAAAACACACAACAAAAGCACATTACTCCATTTGATTTACATTTATTTTTAGGGCCATAATATTCAGCAGGAGCTTCATTTAAACTACCTGATTTTGCAGTCATCAGATCATTATGTGGCATATAAAAAGGTCTTTAAAAAAACTAAAACAACTTGCCTAGGTGGGGGAGGGGTATACAATTTTATTTTGTTATTTTTACAAGCCCAAAGTTCTTATTTGACCCAAGTGAAAATGCGGAAATGTAGGGTTGATATGGACCAGTCTCAATTACCTCTGAAACCTCGTCCTCCGCCCCCACCTCTTCCTCTGAAGCCTCCACCACCACCACCTCCACCAAATCCTCCTCGTCCACCTCGAAATCCGCCTAAAAAAAACAAAACACAACAACATCAAAGCCTGATACGGTACAGAGATTTGAAAGCATAGGTTGAACATTTAAAATGTATGTATACCCTATTAGAGAACTTTCGCTCCCTTTTGGCCTGTTATATTCTATTAAGAGCATTATGTTATACATTATCTTTTAGATATATGCAAAGAATGCCTGTTATTCCCATCAGAAACCCAGAACTGACCTGTGCACTTGGTAATTTCAAGGAATCTAATCAGTTCTTCCAGTGAACTACAGAACACTCCTCCCTTATGTTACAGAGATAAAAGGAGATATATTTTCTAGTTTCGCAAAACAGCTGGGCAGGGCTGACAACAATCCTCAATATTTCAGTGCAGCAAAGGCACTGTGCTGTCTGCCCCCAAAAGAAAATAATGAGCTCAGAGCATTTACGGCAGGATCGAGTATTTCTTGCAGTGTGTTTAACACTTTTGGTGCCGACACATGCCATACGTCGGCAGTGAGGCAACCTCCTATTTCATATTATAGCAAAAATTGGGTAATATATTGTGTTTATGTGCACTAAAATTAACTTAAAAGGATAAGTTCACCTTTTGCAAAAATGAAAGAAATACAGAATATATTACAAAATATGCATTTCTTTAATATTTGCATTCAAGCCTGGAAAGCATTGCAATCCTGATCACTCGATCACAGCTGCAAAGCTCAGGCTTCTGCACATTTTAAAACTGGCAGAGCTCGTACAGAGTTTTAGGAGAGATTGGAGGGGAGCTCTCCTCCAAACTGCAATGAATCACCTCATACGATGTCCAACCATCCTTCCTCTAGGTAGATGCGGGAAAATGGGCTGCTATACCTAGAGCGAGGAAGGCTGAACGCTGTAGGAGTTTATTTAACCAGTTGAAGTCTGGGTTGTTAAACCCCCTTCCCATCCAGGCCATTTTTCAGTAGTCAGCGCTGCGGTACTTTGACTGACATTTATTCTGTCATGCAACGCTGTACTGAAATGAATTTTATACCCTTTTTTGGGGACAGATAGAGCTTTTTTGGTAAAATATAATGTAAGTAATCTTTAGCCCCACAGGAACCAATAAGGCGCTTTAGATCATCATCGGCATATCAGTTAGGTTGGGTCTAAGCACAGAAAGAGCTGCCGGATGATAGTTTGTACCTCAATTAAAATAGCAGTTGTCTCACAACCTTGTGAATAGATAAAAAAGGCCTAAGCAAAATGAAGAGCTGCAAATATTTTACTGTAAGTGCTATATCACTCACAACTGAGTTGCCCCACTTTGTGGGGAATTTGTCTAGCTTCACTTTAACGTGAGGTATTTTGTTGTTTTTATTTTAAGTCTTTGCATTGCTTTGTATCAGTTCTCTTTAACTTTATAAAAACGTTGTTTTATTAATATTTACTACATGACAAAGGAGACTAGCACTCCAACTGATGGCAGAAAAAAACACATTAATAAGAAATATTTCATATTACCCTGCAAGTAAAATAAAGAAAAAAACATTTAAGGATGCACTGCTCGCCTTTAGAAATTCACATTCAAATTCAGAATACAAACCTCCTCCTCTTCCTCCACCACCTCCTCTGAAACCTCTACCGCGTCCGCCCCCTCTTCCTCCTCCGCGACCACGTGGAGGACCCTTCTCACCAGGTGGCCGAGGAAGGAACCTCTGCAATGGCAGCAGCTTTGCTGGGTCTATATAAAACTAGAAGAAAAAAAAAAAGCAGAAATTGTTTCATAAAAAGGAGTGGAAAAATTAGCAGTTCAAAAAAACAAAAAGTTATTGTAAAAACTTAAGTAATATACCAGGGCTGAACAAAACCCCAGACCAAAGCAGCCAATGCAATGAAAATATTTAGGACTAGTTTTAGATCATTTTATACTATCAATGGAGTTTTCAGCCCCTACAGCCCAACTGTGGTCAAAATATTGGGGTTTTTATTTTTTTGGATAGAAGAAAAAGGATTCATTTTTGTCCTGTTTTCAGTGCTTTGTGTCCCTTTTGCAGTACCACCTATCCCACCAACGCTATAGAATACAGGATGCACCAGGAACAGGAGGATAGGTGATTTACCACAAAAATGGACACAGAAAGCAATTTTTTTAAAAACAACTACTAGAGATTGTATCCCTTCTCCACTTTGTTTAGAAAAAAAAAAGGAATAAAAAAAAAGAGCTGGTTAGGTTTGGTTTAAACCTACATGTGGCCTCTTCTGTACAGTACCAGTTGTACTATGTGCACATCAAGTAAAGAAGCTTATGCCGAACACTTAGCTCTTATCTTAAAAGAGAACTAAAGCCAAACTCTTTTTTTGGCTTTACTTCTCTTTTGGGTCACAGGAGTATATTTACTAAAGCTCTGACTTGAGGAGGCAGAGCCAGCTGTGCTTGCCCCCTTCCCCATCTGTTCTTCCAGACTAAGCTAGAGGAATAGAGAGGGGAGGGGGCAATCCCTGTGATGATCGGTCACTGAGTCACCACTCTCTGCAGGGAGAAACAGTGAGCAGAGCAATCAGCAGCCACACGATCGCGCTGCTCTCAATCAATAGAGCCAGCTGGAGGTGTCCCACACCGGCTTCAGGTATTAGAGTATAGTTTACTCTCAGAATACTTCTTTAAAGCTGGAGCCTGTGAATATGTTAAAAAAAAAACTACCTTTGCAGTGGGGTTCCTCCCACACTGCAAGAGTTAAATGCTTGTTTTTGCAAAGGGTGGCAATGGAGTGAGACAATGGAGAAAATGTAAACATTTGAAACAATAATTACCTTTTGCAATTTCTTAAAGGACGATGCTTTCATGTTATCAGATAGTTTTATAGAAAAATACTGAAATAATACATTAAGGAATATACAAATGTATATCAAAAGCAAATCAAACAATACTCAACAAAAAGGTATAGGAAATTTAGAGAGCATAGCAAATATCACTTCAGAGGGCACAAACTGAGTTCTTGTAAAACTCTTGTAAAACTCACCTAAGCCCCCTTACTACCGCACCCTTGTAAAAGACAAACAAAAAAACAACACAAAAACTTAATTTTTAAATGGTGCTGCAGAAAAACACATTTGGGGGCCAGTGCACCAATTGAGTGCCTGTGATCAAGCGGTCATTAGACAGCGCAGCTAAGTGGCAAAATGTAGAGCTTTAGGTTTCTTGCCATGCATATGGTTAACCATGTGTACATATTTTTCTTTCCAGGACTATAAATTAGACAGTTGTGGGGGGTGACTAGCAAGGGCTGGCTTGTGATCCATTAAAAAGAGACAAAGTCACTAGCCTATAGAGGCTAATGGACAGTGTCTTTGTAAAGAAAAGAGCCCCATAAACCTCATGCACTCACTTTGCCAGCCCTCCCTGGTACTAAAATCACCTGTATTTGCAAATATGGAGAACAGTACTATCACTATCCCCATTACATGACAGTGCTCAGCCTAGCAATTAACTGCTAGTACCAAGCACCGTCACATGGTAGATCACATGTTCCCCCTTATACAGAAGCACTAGGTATTGTGGACGGCTGTGAAAGGGACAGGAGTGGAAAGTCCTAGCAAGGAGAGTATAAGTGGGTTAGGGGAGGCCCTTTACATGGGCAAGGTATCTGTGCTTCCTACACATACAGCCTGATGAAACAAAACATTCCTCATACATCTTACAGTCATGCTACATCTTCTCATATAGTAAAATGAAGCGATTTCATATTAGTATGGACAAAAAAAGGATACAAAGCCTCTCAGCTGCCCAAATATTTCATCCACTTTTCCGATCTGTTCTTTGTTTTCAAGATAAATGGGGGCATTAAAATAAGGCACTTTGTTTTCTTCTGTTGTACATTTACACACAACATCATCTTCACAAGGATGCATGAACTCTCCAACCTCTGCAACAAGAAAATCTTTAGTGTTTAGACAACTGTACAGTCAGCGATTACACATATAGATGGAGATAGAACATTAAAAAGGAGAATTATGAGGCAAGTGCTTTTCACTCAGCCTTATAATCTGAGCCGACCTGTGACAATGAAACTGTCACACGTCGGCTCAATAGATCGGGGAGTGAACACATACTGTCGCTCGCTAACTTCTCGATTTATCCGTGCAGAGAGCCGTGACCGTCACTCACGGCTCCCTGCAGGGATTCCCCCCTGTCCGATCCTCCAGCACTGACTGGCGAAACGGGCGGGGGCAGGTACAGCTGGCTCTGCGTCTAGATAGGCAGAGCCAGCTGTCACTCACGAAGCTGGGTGGATCCAGACAGTAATGTGGGGATCCGTTCCAGCTGCGGCGTCTCAGCACACCACGAGCTATAGCTCACAATATACTGAGCTTTGGGTGAAGGGAGGACGCTAGTTTATGTCCTCCCGTTACCCTTAGGAGAACTATGGGGAAAAGCCCTAACCCCATAGTTCTGCTTTAAAGGCATAAAGGGGGATGTACAGACAATCGAAAAGCATCAATTCAGGTTTTGCCAGCAATATTTTAGACACAAGTCATGTCTGGAAAACAGCGGTTTAGCTGGACTTGGCAATGAAAAACTGTATAAGTGTACTTAAATTTCAACATACCAATAACGCTCTCTGGTGGTCCTTGGTCATAACCTCTGTTAAAACCCCCGCGTCCTCCACCAAAACCTCCGCGTCCTCCACCAAAACCTCCGCGTCCTCCACGTCCGCCACCAAAACCTCCGCCTCCTCCACGTCCACCACCAAAACCTCCTCCACGTCCGCCACCAAAACCTCCGCCTCCTCCTCCACGATTAAAGCCTCCTCGCCCTCCGTAAGACATCCTGAACAAACAGTGAATTCAGTGAGTAAACACTCTATAAAATGGAAAAGGCTGTATCAAATATGCATTTTATTGGATACGAACAGTTCACCAGACACTAGGGAGGTATCGGTACCGAGTATTTACTCGTACTAGCCCAAATGCTCCGATACCGGAACTTCGGGTCAGAGGGAGATCTCTGTGCCTCAGTGCTGAGGAAGCATGAAGCCGGCTTCCATTCCAATCAGGATGCTGGGTGGTGGGTTATGACACACCTCTCAGCTTCCTGATTGGCTAGGAAGCTGGCTTTATGTGTTGCTAAGCAGTCTGGCGGCACGTAATGACCTGCCTCCAGGCTTCCCGATTGGTCAGGAAGTCAGGCTGCCTAGGAACAAGTGAAGCTGGCTTCCTAGCCAATCAGGAAGCGGGTCATGACATGCCACCCGGGTTCCTGATTGGCTAGAAAGCTGGCTTCACTTGTTACTAGGCAGCCTGGCTTCCTAACCAATCAGGAAACTGGACGGCACCTCATGACTCGCTGCCCGGCTTCCTGATTGGTCAGGCAACCAGGAAGCTGGGCAACAGGTCATGATCCGCCGCCCGACTTCCTGATAATCGGGGCACCGGCAAGTACCATAAGAAAAAATAATTAGAATATATATACAGGGCTCGAAAATCCACTCGTCTGCTCGTCTGTGACGAGCAGACGGTGGAGCCCGACGAGCTGATCCCAATTTCCCAATTGTGAGCTCAACAATATATCCAAAAACATATTAGAATTATAACAAATTATTAATCTCGTATGAAACTACACATAAATATACACACATTTAAAAAGCTATCCACCCCATCAAATGGCTATATTGGCAACATGACAAACCCAATGGTTATAATGGCTCTGCAAGCCTGATTTCGATCTGCAGCAGGTTAGGCAAATGGTATACCTTCATTCAACAATGCACATAGGTTATAATGGCTCTGCAAACCTGACATCGATCTGCAGCAGGTTAGGCACATAGTATACCTTCATTCAGCAATGTATATTGTATTCCTCTGGTATCAGTTTGTTGGTATGTTATATTGGCAAACCTAATGGTATATTGGCTCTGCAAGCCTGATTTATTTCGATCTGCAGCTGGCTAGGCAAATGGTATACCTTCATTCAGCAATAAATATTGGTTATAATGGCTCTGCAAGCCTGACATCGATCTGCAGCATGTTAGGCAAATGGTATACCTTCATTCAGCAATGTACATTGTATTCCTCTGGTATCAGTTTGTTGATATATTGTATAACATCCAAGCAGCTACCTTGTATATCTTCTGTTATATTGCTTTGGTGTCAGTTTGTTGATATTTTATGTAACATCCAAGCAGCTATCTAGTGTCTTGGGAGTGCTATCTCTTGACAGAGGAATACAATATACATTGCTGAATGAAAGTATACCATTTGCCTAACCTGCTGCAGATCGATGTCAGGCTTGCAGAGCCATTATAACCATTGGGTTAGTCATGTTGCCAATATAGCCATTTGATGGGGTGGATAGCTTTTTAAATGTGTGTATATTTATGTGTAGTTTACCAGAGATTAATACATTGTTATAATTATAATATGTTTTTGGATATATTTTTGAGCTCACAATTGGGATCTTGATAATTTGAGGGCATTTATTTTTTTGGGCTATAAGTATCATATATGTAATTGCAAACCCCAATTGCTCAATTGTGTGTTTATATATCAGTACTCGATACCGAAAACCGGTATCGCTGCATCCCTACTAGACACATTCAAGTGTATGAGTAGCCAAAACTTGGTTTTGATTTAATCGGGAAATGGTTATACCCTCTTCCACATTTATTGCCGACTGTGCCCCTGCTGTTGAGATTTACCCCATTTGTCCTGGTCACCAATGTTGCAGAGACAAATTGATGGCAAAGCCAAAATTCTGCAGTTGTCACCTGAACAAGAAATGAGATTAAATATTCCAATGGTGTCAACTGTTACAGTGGCAACTAAGTGGGAAATTGCCCTCAATTTGTGTTGCATCAAAGACAGGAAGTGAAGGCAAATCGCCCCAATAGCAAACAGCAACAAATAAACTGACAGGGTTGCAACTCTTTCCCTAATCTTTCACTCTCCACAAATTGGCTGCACATACACTAAGCTACTCTCAGCCACTGTAAGAAGCCAGACATACAAGTTCACAAAATAAATCCACCGCCAGAAATGGCATATATCTTTTAATTCACAGCCCACCTCTTCCATGGTCTACCACCATTTTATTCTATAGGGTCTTGGCATTCAGAAAATATATAATGTTGGGGGGTTTTATGTCATTTTCAGGCCTAAAATGTGGAATATAACATGGGTGCAAAAATTGAAAAAAGGGCCTCAGTCATGAAGGGGTTAAGGCAATGCCACCTTTCAGTACGCTGGCCAAAGCAAACCCTAATAAACTCACCCATAGAGCTGGTAGATGAATTAAGGTAGCCATACACTTCAATGTTGAACGCTCCTTACAGTATCAGCCTAAATGTGAGCCACGTTTGACAGCACAACCATCAACAAAATATAAATGAAAAATGGATTTAGCCGGTGGAAAACTCCCCGCCGAACAGTGACTGCATCCGATCAGATGCAGTCATTGTTTGAGTATGCAGGCAGCTAAAGTTGCAGCAGCTGTCTGAATACAATAGCTGGCAGTGAAGATTCCTCCATCCATGCTGTTTATCATGTATGGGGGAATCAAGTGATTTTATCTTAGCCTGTGGGCTGGGTGCAAGAAAATGTATTTGTGTACAGTATATGGGTAGCTTAAGCCCTCATTCACACTGTAATCAGCCCACACATACAGCTCCGTGCAGGGACGTACCAAGCAGCTACGGCCCCCTACACGTCTGTACGGATGGGTCCTGTCTGCGTCAGAGCCGGAAAACACGCACCTGCACTTGGTGAGCGGATGGCCGCGTAGTCCCATAGAGGAGGACAGTGGATGCGTACTAATCACACGCAGCACCTGTCCTTCCCGGGAGTTGCTCGATACAGCCGTGCACGCAGCAGGGAGCTGTACGTGCGGGCCGATACAGTGTGACTGAGGGCTTAGAATGAGCACTCAGGTAACCTCAGGTGTGTGTTCGTTTTTTACCCTCAATGCTGTGGCCTATTGGTAAAGTGCTGAGATACACATCCGTCAGCATTAACAGCACATCAGTCAGGGGGATTGTTCTTCCTTGATGAAATCATACATCTCTTTAGGCAATGAGAGATACAGAGAAAGGTACCCAGTGTTTATTAGAAGTGTGGGGATCCCCTCCAGGAACCATGAGATCCACACACCTCATGAAATACATTAAACACTGCATGCACCCATTTCTCCTGTCTTTCACCAATACCGTTTCCAGTAAGCAATCATTCATGTTAAAAAAAGTACAGTAGTTATGCAGTGAAAATATTTAGATTTGTCTTCGCCGCCTCTCTTTCCTAGAATGTGATGCAAACGTTACACAACACACCCGTACCATACAACATTGCTATTATGAGTATAAAACAAGCACACAGCTCACTGCAGGTATGGTATTATACAGCATACTGTTAAAACAAGGTTTTAGTTAAATTGAATTTAAATCATGAGCAGACATAGAGTGGCTTACAGGTATCTGTAATTCACCCACCAACTGAAAGCTTAATTTCAAGTAAACGGGACCGAAAAGATTAACATTATCATACCTGACTCCCGATTGAAGCCGCGATCACCCTCCCCAAGCAAACACGTGGGGCTCCTTAGGTCTGACTCACATCCGGCGCGCTCTGATTGCGTCTTCAAAGAGGGGGGGGGGGAAGGCTTCGGAAAACTTTATTGAAACTGAGTGCTCAGAAACATGTATAAATAAAGTGTATGGTTGTAGGACAAGTAAACATTCAGCAACGGTTTCAGGCGTGATTCGTCTAACGTCTAAACTCTATTGCATTGAAGAAGCAGAAGCTGACATCCACACTCCAATAGTAATACTAGAACTACCGGTATATTAATAAAGGTTACCTCGTGTTGGGTAGATGTGGGAAGCCCAGCTTAATTCTTAGCCTGCTCCTACCGCTGCTATTTGTAATAAAATAAAGTCATACACACATGCGTTCCCTGTACAGGTCCGTAGTGAGCTGGCAGAGTTTATAAAGTCATAATAAAGCCTCATTCACAAAGGGCTTTTATGATAGGTTGCAGATTCCTGAAGCAAAAATCACCTCTTTTTGAGGCAGGAATCGCATGGTTGTGGCCTGCTGAGGCTGCTTAGCCTGTACAAAGCAATGACAAGCTGGCAAGAGCCGCAGCTGTTCACCACTACGCCCATGTATTTACACATATAGTGGTTACCTGTGGCTAAGGACAAATATGCAAACCTGGAAACAGACAGATTGTGTTCAGTGCTGGTCTTCTGTCCCTAGCTGCAGATAACTGCTGGATGGCAAGCAATAAAATTGCGCTAGAGATCACATGACCTTCTTCCAGGAGGCAAGCCTCGTTCTGAGGCTACTCTAGAGATCACATGACCTTCCTCCTCCAGGAGGCAAGCCTCACTCTGAAATTGTACCCACTGATATCTTACCGGAAAGGTTTACTCAGAGTACACCTTTCAGGGAGAAAATGCCTCTCTCGCGGACGTCAGTGAGCCGCTATCTAATAGAGGGAGACTCCCTGAACATCAGGGAGACTTGAGATCCCTGCCTTGTCCAAACATCTGACACCCCAGTTCTGGCACACCTAGACAGGCACATACACACTAAAGGCCGTGACACACTGCAGAGCGGAGCGGTGGCACACTGCCTTCGCGTGCAGTGTGTCATGTAATGTTCTCTACGGCATGTCAGCTTGTGAGAGCTCGCATAGCTGGGCGTGCCGAGATGAAAAAGGCGGTGTGGAATAGGGAATGCACAGCATGGCATATAGTATGAGGCGGTGTGGAATAGGGAATATACAGCATGGCATATAGAATGAGGTGGTGACCTGCATTGTACCACACTCGATCAACACAGGTCACAGCAAGGACACAGAGAAAACAATTGTTTTCTATGTGTCCCAATCACACAACTATGTGGGTATAATGGGCAATGTGGGGCAATATATACATGCTGCAACATGCATGCTGCATTTTATTGCAGCGCAGTGGATGTCAGCGCAGGTCGTCACATGGGGGGACCTGAATGGAGTGTACTCATTGTACACTCCACATACTGTAAAGTTAAAAAGAAAAGAAAATATGTAAACAGTGACAACTCCAGCAGGGTGCAATATAACACACACTGCTGGAGCTGCCACAATGCACTAGCCCATCTGGTGAAACATACAATTTTTGTGGTCAACTTAATGTGTGAACAATGTGACCACTTCATTCAGGTCCTTGCATGGCAGCAGTGTACAATGCGCTGCTGCTTGTGACCTGTGTCGATCTAGTGTGGTACAACGCAGGTCATTGCTAGATGTGTGAAAGGCTGTGCCCCATGCAGTCCTCCCCTCAGCACAGACCTGAAGTGATTGCATTGACAGACAACTTAGCCGATCGCTGCTGTCACTTGTAAACAAGCAGCCAGGGCACAGGAATGCCTACAATGCTAACTTCCTCTGCAGGGCTCTGCATTAGATGAGTCGTCAGTCAGAGCACGGAAAGGAAGTGAGTATTGTAACTTTCCCTGCTCTAGCTCTTTGTTTACATGTGACAACAACGATCAGCTGCACTGTGTCACTGCGGGTCTGCGCTGATGGGAGGTCTGAATGGGGCACAGCTCAACTAAAGGGACAAAAACCACCACTGCCCCTGAGTGGTGCGGCAATCCCCCTCAAGTGGAGCCCATGGCACATGCCCTGCCAGCCATACCCTAAATATGCCACTAGATAAATAAATGCATGCAGATAGCTGTGGCTCCTGACAGTCTGTCATTGTTTTGTATAGGCCGAGCATCCACAGCTGCCTGGAACCTCATTGGATGCCTGGTGCAAGCATATGCTGATAATTGCTGTAGGAATCCACATACAGAAAAAAAAAAAGCCCTGTGTGAATGGGGTCCACATTGTTTTTGCTACTATAGTGTGCATGGGGGCTAAATGTGGATTAGAGGAAGGAATACAGAGGAGTTCCATAGATAGATGAAAGGAGTAGTACAGTGAGGCACTGTAGGTGGAAGAGTGGAGCAATACAGAGGGGTGCTGGAGGTAGATGATAAGAGAAGTATGGTTCAAAAGGCTCTGGAAGTGGACTTGAGGAGTAGTGTGTGGGGGGACCTTTGAATGTGGATTAATGGAACAGTACAGACAGGGCCGGATTTGCTCTCCCTGCCGACCCAAAGCCAGGTTCCGCAATGCGCCCCCTCCCCCCCAACCGAACCCCCCCAAATCAACGGAGAATGGCAACCGGATGGCAGGGGCGGCAGGGTTAGTTCTAATTTTTTTTGTTTCTTTATTTTTTCTTACTTTTTTATCCCTTTTTTTATTTGTATTTATTTTTTAAATTTTTAGCTTGT